ATTAGTCATTGAACCGTTCCATTCATTTACTATGGTTTTGTTTTCTTTTTATAAATATAGACACTATAAAAAGTTATATCGAACTTTTATTTTCTGATATTGATCAATCCATACAAACATCACAATCAACATTCTTTTGTTTTAACCATATTAAGATCTTTTTATGGGTTTGGATCTTAAGAACGTAACACACATGAAACAGATTGAAGGAATACAAGTTATAATACGAGTCCTATATAATCCATAAATCATCAAATTTGATCACAGCTCCACAAGTGCGAACACCAAAGCTGTAATTGTAACAACAAATCTCCCAAATATTTCTTTTCCTGCCAAAAAATATATATTAGAGCCAACCCTTAATTAGATATCATAAATAAAATATTAAAAAATTAGATTATTATATAATTAAAACTATACATAAAAATAAATAATACAAAAATATGATCACCTTTTATAACCTTAAATGAAGTCGACCCGCTAGGAACGTTTGGTGGTGGCCGCGTTAAAACCAAGGGCGGCGGCGGTTGCGGCATGGGCGAAAAAGAAGGAGGCGGCGATAATTCAGCCGGTGATGAATGAGGTGGTGGTGATCGAAGAGGCGGAGATGACGGAGACGGAGACGGTGGTGATGCCAAAACGGTTTTATACCTCAAAAGACATTTAGGAATAAAAATCTGAGCAAAACTTGGTGAACGGCAACAAGTTGAAACTCTTAAGAACGCATTTCTGAGACAAACGGTACATTTTGATGGATCAAGATCAGGACTACACTGAACCATTGACTCTAACTCATAAGAACCTTCTGGTTGAATCACACGTTCTTGATCCTTCACGAAATACGGAATCAAAGAGGAAGAAGATACGTTTTGAATCAGTTGGTTGAATTTATCGGATAATGTTTGATTCAACCGATTCGAGTTTGGAGCAGAACGTAGAGAGTAAAGAACGGCTCCTGGCATGATTTCCAATTCAGAGGAGAAGGAAACATTCGAGTATCGAACCATACACTCGTCATAGTATATGAACGCTACTTTGTTCAGACTACAGTTTGTACCGATCTCGACTGTTGCGGTTTGGACGCAAAGTGCGCAAGATTCTGTGGTGATGTCTCCTCTGCAGAGGAACATTCCATGGACAGTGTCGGGGCTAATACCGATTGTGGGATTTGAAAAGGTCCCTAGAGAGGAACTGTCGCGGAGAGTTGAGAGGACTATGTCGCGGTTTGCTTCGTATGAGCTGGTTTGAGTGAAGTTGTCGGAAGGATCGCAGAAGGTAAACATGTGTATAGCTTGAGACATGGTATGGTGAGATA